AATGGCATTTTGCTTGTGCCTGGGGTTCAGTATTAAAAAAATTAATAGCCCAATTTTCAAGTTTTCAAGTACCCCCCCCCCCTCCGCAAAACTTTTTTTGCGAGAGGCTTATAAGGTTAGCGCAAATGAATTAATGATACATGTTTTGATATGTAATGTATGGCTGTAATATATGGCTGTAAAGTATAGTCCATTTTACAGGTTTTGATACCAGTACTGATGGAAATTGACATGACTGCACTATAAAAACATTATAATTAGTGACAATTGCAATATAATTACAATACACACAATTTTAACATTTCTTGTATTGGTAATGTCTTTATAAAATTGCCGTTCTAAGTTCTTTTGAAAATCAATACTAGACAATTTGCATGTTAGCAAAGCATCAGGGGAAAAGTGGTGACCATAAATACTGTGACGTTATAAAGTTACCGTTTTAAAGGTCAAGTGCAGCTTAGAGATGAGTGTGATATACTTTTACAATTCATGTATAGAGTCTATATATAGACGTTGGTTTATATAATAAAAACTCTAGTTTTAGTACTCAAACTAAAAAAACAAGACCATGCCTATGCCCACATTATTAGAAACAACAGCTTTAAAAACAACACCGAAGAATCCAATTTAGTTGATGACTACGTATCTCTTAAAAATTACAATGTATTAATGTATGCCAAACATGAATCACAATTCGTCATTGCGTTATTTGCGTAAACAATCATTGCCTCAATAAATGAGTGATAAGCGTAATAACTAATATTCAGTACATTGTACTATTGGTAGCTGTACTGAATACAAAGAATATAATGTATTTCTTGCTTTTTTTCTGATTACCCCGATGTTATTGCGACAGATTTGCGCAAATGTAATTTGATATCACGCATTGTAATTATATAAATGCAAACTGCCCAGTTTTCTGGACGTGAGAAGGTGAAGAAGACTGGGAACGTCCTAGTTTTTTGTGCGCAGGGGTCTGAGAACGTCCTAGAATTACCTTATTTGGAAAAAAACTAGGCTGTTGTCGTCAAAAACTAGGACGTTCCCAGACTCCAAAATACCAATCGCGCGTAATGACGATATATTTCATGCAAACAATCCGATAAAATGCCTTTCCAAGAATTGCGACTATTTCCTAGCACTCTCCTCCGCAGAGGCGTTTTGTTTTGGGAGGTTTTATTGCACATTTTTTTCTCTTAAAAATATCAAGTTATATTAAGAGTCCCCCCCCCCCC